AAAAAACTAGGGTTTCCGGGCACTTAACAAAGTTATTATAATAATACCGTTAAAAAGTATATTTGAAAATCGAAATTACTCTCACATTTTGGCTAAAATCTCGGCTGAAATAGAAATTAAATCATGAAATCGTAGACACCAACAGTTAAGACCTTGAAAGACAATAAACAATAGCTGCGACATCATTTACACAAGTTACCTAGAAGTCCAGCATAATTTTGAGGATCTCACTCCAAATGTCGTCGCATTACACAATGGCACAATGGCATTGTGCCAAAGCCGCTGTAACTTCTCCAAAATAAAGGATTTTCGCCCCCAAAAAACTTCGCACCAAATTAGAAATGAGTTTCCCTATACGTGGAAGACTGTCTGAACTAATAATCTAGAAAAACAAAAGTGGACTTGACTGTTTTTAAAGTCATCATGCAGCAAACTAAGATAATGCACAGAGATAAAATAAGACATCTGTAGGACAGTGGACAAACTTTTTGCTGGCCTCTAGTGCTCGGTAACAGCAAGCTTACAGAGAATAAATCCCCAGTAGGACGCCCAACTCTTCCGACGTAGCAGTTTTAATATTTTCTTTGGCGATATTTTGCATGGTTGGTTTTCGGCATGAAAATGACAGTACCAGTTGACAAAGTTTTAAAGGAACAGTAATTTATTAAAGAACTCCCTGAGGGTCTAGAAACCGAAAGCGGTGTCGTGTATCCTCAGAAGGTCATTCCATCCCGTCATTTCTGTGGCTTTTCTGTTTATAAACAGCTGACTTTAAAGTTTTTCATTATGCTTTTTGGGCTTTGCTGGACTGCCGAGTGTGTAATATTTGTTGGTGCTCCTCTAGGTGAGGGGCACGAGCGAGTATCACACGCTCATTTCCAGGTAGTTATTTTGTTTTTGAAGACTCATGCAAACTAAGTTTTTTGAGTGCATCTTTAATGCTGTTTTAATATAAGGTAGCGTAGCTTGCAGTGGGTTAGAAAAGTAACTTTCACTGAGAAATTCAAGCTCTAATCTTTTGCTTACTTTTTAAAGGTGTGTAAATCCCTAGTAAATACAATTTTTTTCTTTTTAAACAGAGCGTTTTATGCGTATATGTGTTTATTCTTTGGCCCCAATTATTCCTTCACTTGCATGCTTCTCCTGTATATCACTCTGCTTTTATATTTATATAATGACAGCAGTAACAGCCGTTTACCAATTTTTACTAATTTCTAATTTTCTTTTTCTCGTTTGTTCGCTGTCCGTTAATCGCGTGAGTGTTAGTAAAAGCGGTAGCATTCTCCTGCTTCTGTGGATCATGATAGAGCACATCTAAAAGCTACCGTCGTAAAGATGATTGCTGTTACCTAAGATACGCTTCGTTTAGAAGTAAGGTGTGCGTGGAAAACTCGTTTATTTGAATTTTGGAGATGTTATTTTTCGTGGCTGTAGCTCTCCCAAAGTTGAGGTACCCTTTGCTTACCCTTGGCAAGTCGTGTTAATTATCCTCAGGTCTCAGAATTACGATGCTGTAAGAATTTACACATTATGCGATCTCTAAATACTTCGTTATTCTTTTTTATATTGTTCTAATTTGTTTATATACCCGTGCAACCTTGTTCAGGCTAGCCATTGTTCTGTCGATAGACCAAATATGATGTCGCATTATAAGTGTTAGATCAGTTATTGTTTCCAAGAGATCATAAGTTGGGCACGTCTGCAAATGTGCCACCTTGATTCAGCTATAAAAAGGGGTTTCATCCCTCTCAGTTTTTGAGCTGGTTTTTTGCTTGTAGGGCTTATTGCTACCTTTAGGTTCTTGGGCACTACAAGGCTGATATTACTTCTATAGTGGACGTTTGAAAACATCTATTTATTACTTCCTTATATTGTTTACTCATTATAGACTTTGGTTGTTTATTTATTAAGCGTTGCACTTTACGTTTGTCCTCTCCGTATTCAATGACCATGTTGGTGGAATAAGATGTAAAAGCCTTAATGTATGAGAAGCAGTTGAGCAGATAAAGCAGGTTGTTTCTAATGTTATACTGTTGGTGGTATTATGACAAGTATTCAAGCAGTAATTAACTATATGGTAAACCATCATCAGATGCGCCTATGTGAGCAAAGTGCTGGTGAGCTGCAGCTGACTCACTGACTAAAATAAAAAGCCAACCTGAATTATACTTCTTCTTTTTCTTATCCCAAACTGCCCCTGAAAATCTTGCCAAAAAACAGTTTGTATCTTCTGGAGAAGTTACATTTTTTAAAGGTAAAGCTTGATTCGGATATGGTTACGGGGTAGTTTTTATTTTATCGAGATGCCTATTCTCGAAAGATCCTCTACAGTCATTAGAATGCTCTAAAAACGAGCAACTGAACTACGCTTTTCGCGCTGAAGATAAATCATAGTTTATTTTTGAATTACAAGTCACTTTCTTTGAAGTGATCTATGTTTCACGGCATTCATCCCGGAAGCAACTGAAGCAATTCACGTTTATTTTTTCCGAAAGCTCTGAGAGCACACTACTCGTTTGTTTTAGTTATACTACAGGGGAATTTCTCCTGAATCAAGTGCTTTTTTTTGCGCTAGTTTCTGTTCCTGTTGGAGTGTACAGGAGTTTCTCGCATTATTTGCATTATGAGTTAAAAGTCCACAGACTTGTTCGTGGTAGTTCGCTGTATTACCATTCTCCATGTTCCGCTTAGATGTGAGCAAGCGGGAATGTAAGCAACC